TTAGAAGATGATCCAATCAACTTCTCTCAGGCCATGAAAAGTTCTAACTCTCAACAGTGGATTGATGCCATGAATGAAGAGTACAAGTCTATGCAAGACAATAAGGTTTGGGAACTTGTCCCATTACCAGAAGGTGCAAAACCAATTGGTTGTAAATGGATTTTTAAAACCAAGCGGGATGCAAACGGTAATGTGGAGAGGTATAAGGCACGTCTTGTGGCTAAAGGCTATACTCAAAAGGAAGGCATTGATTATACAGAGACTTTCTCTCCGGTTTCATCGAAAGACTCTTTCAGAATAATCATGGCACTTGTTGCTCATTATGATCTTGAGTTACATCAGATGGATGTTAAGACTGCATTTCTCAATGGAGACATTGATGAGATGATCTATATGGTGCAACCAGAAAACTTTGTGTCGGGAGACCCAAAGAATATGGTCTGCAAATTAAGGAAATCCATCTATGGACTCAAGCAAGCTCCTCGTCAATGGTATCATAAGTTTCAACAAATAGTTATCTCGTTCGGTTTTGAGATGAACATTGTTGATGACTGTGTATATCACAAGTTCAGTGGGAGTAAGTATATTTTTCTGGTTCTGTATGTGGATGACATCTTGCTTGCCACTAATGATATAGGCATGTTGCACGAAACCAAGAGATTTCTATCAAAGAATTTTGAGATGAAAGATCTTGGGGACGCCTCTTTTATATTAGGGATCCAGATACATCGAGATCGCTCTCGGGGTATTCTTGGATTATCACAAAAGAGCTATATCGATAAGGTACTTAAAAGGTTTGGCATGCAAGATTGCAGACCAGGTGACACCCCTGTTGCTAAAGGAGACAAGTTTAGTCTCAATCAGTGCCCTAAAGGTAACCTTGAAATTCAGGAAATGCAGAAGATTCCTTATGCTTCGGCTGTAGGAAGTCTAATGTATGCTCAGGTATGTACGCGTCCGGATATTGCGTACATTGTTGGGATGTTAGGCAGATACTTAAGCAACCCTGGTATGGATCATTGGATAGCAGTCAAAAGGGTTATGAGGTATCTTCAGAAAACAAAAGATTACATGCTCACATACAGAAAATCAGAGAAATTAGAGGTCATTGGGTATTCGGACTCTGATTTTGCTGGATGCCAAGATAGCAGGAAGTCTACATCAGGCTACATTTATATGTTAGCAGGAGGAGCTATATCATGGAAAAGTGTCAAACAAACACTAGTAGCTTCCTCCACTATGGCAGCAGAATTTGTAGCTTGCTATGAGGCATCCAATCAGGGAATATGGCTGCGAAATTTTGTCACGGGACTGCGCATTTTGGAAAATGTTGAAAGACCACTAAGGCTATATTGTGACAATAAATCTGCAGTAATGTATTCCAATAACAACAGGAGCTCAACTAAGTCAAAACATATTGACATTAAGTTCCTGGTTGTGAAAGAAAGGGTACAGAGTGGACAGATATCCATAGAGCACATTGGGACAAACTCCATGATAGCTGATCCTCTTACTAAGGGATTGCCACCTAAGGTCTTTCATGAGCATACTGCTCATATGGGTGTGGTATTATTTGAGGATATTATGTTTTAGTGGGAGTTTGTATTTGTGGTGCTTTATGTTTGGTTGTATTGTCTGATCAGAATAAAGTATTCAGTTAAGACACTCTGTTACATTATGTTTGGTTTTGACCTCACTAAGGAGGACCAGTTGAAAATAGACATGTACTGATCACATTGCATGTAATTTTCATGCTGCACATCCATGATTGATCTATGTCATTTGATTGTATTAGTATATGTGACCATTGATGGGTCGAGTCACGATAAATGTGACGAAGGCCGCTTTGATCCTATATTGATATAGTCAATGGACGAGATTGTTCGGAAATACCATTTCAGTGATAGCAATTTTTGAGCTCATAAGGTTATACACAGTTTAAGGAATCATATGGTGCCCAAGTGGGAGATTGTTGGATTTAATCTAATAAATCTATTTGTGGGCACATATGATTAATCAATGTGTATTGCTATCTTTCAGGATAACCCACTAAAGTGATCAATTAAGTTGGGTTAATTTGGTATTTAAATAAGTCATGGGGTTATATGTGCAGATACCAGGTTGTAATTGTAATTTATTGAGGGGCTAAATTATAAAAGTACAACATCTATAAATAAGGGGTTATGGTCCCTAACCTAGGGTTACATTCTCTAATTCTCTACACCCCCAAGAAGATCAAAACCCATCTCAAGATCAAGCAATGGATTCAGGTATAAGCTTCCGCTCTTTTGATTATTTGTTAATCTCTTTGAATTAATCATGGCTATATGGTTTTAGATCTCAAGTTTTGATGTAGATCTAACATATTGTTGATGAAGCCCGTGATGAGTAAAAAAAAGAGCAAATGTCTATTGTGTTGTGATTTGTGGACACTAATGGATTCATTCAAGAAAAGAGCATTATTGTCAAGTTTTATGCACAAGATTTTACAAGTGAAGAAAAAAAGAGTTTGAAGATGCAACTGAAACATTATGAGCATAATGTAGTCAAAGGGTCAGACTTCAAAACTCTTTCAACCATTTCTGAGTTGTGTCAATGGTTGGTAAAGACTAATAAATCTGCTACATACGACTTCATTTTTAGAGTGATCGTACTTGTGCTTACTCTTCCAGTTTCTACTGCTACTGCAGAACGATCATTCTCAGCTATGAATATCGTCAAAACTAGGCTTCGAAGCAAAATGGATGATGCTTTCCTCTCCGACGTATTAATGTTGTTTATTGAAAGAGAAATTGCTAAAAGTCTGAGCATTGATGCTATCATTGAAGACTTTAAAAATTTTAAGGAACGTCGTATTCCTTTTAGTTAGAGAAATTTTAGTTATAAAAAAATAGATGATGCTTATTTGACTATTTTCTATATAATATTTGTCTTCCTCTTTTGAAATATTTTGGAGATATTGATGTTGGCTATTCTACTCGTTTTATTTAGGTTGTGGTATATCTCTTGTGAATAAAATTACATTAAGAAATTTTTTTATCTATCTTTTGTACGCGGTCCCCCCAGAACTAAAATTCTGGATCCGCCCCTGATTATGATGTTCATGTCCTAAAACTTTGGTGTCTCAATTCTCATGTATCAGAGACCATGGGGTGTCGACTTAATATGTATGGATCTAACGGTCTTATTTGTTCTATCTATCATTAGATATGTTAATTTTGTAAAAGGTTTAAAAAAAACTTATGTTTTTTTTTTGCTAATTACAAATAGAGCTTATCTATTTCCAAAGCTTGATTTCTTGAATGTCATGTAACAAAATGTCCTGAAGCTCATCTTAGTCTAATGTGCAGCAAAGAAAGATCTTTGTAGACTTTGTTGTAACTTAACAACATTTGCTATCACAATATATGTATATTTTTTTTTTCATATGTATTAACTTCTAAACTCTTTGAATAAGGATTATATCGGAACCACCCCTATAAAAAAAAGACGTATTGCATTATCATAGATAGAAGAGCTAAAATTTTCAAACTAATCCCGAATCAGTAGTGAATGATATAGATCACCCAGAATTTGTACTCAAGCTCCTACCCTCTATCATTTTCACTTTTATTGTAATTTAATATGAGTGCTACAGAGCAGAAATTGGGCCTCAACCTTAACAATGATTCAACAACTTGGTCTACTTTATAGCTGACCTGAAATCGTCCACTTCTCTACAATGCGCGTACACAATATAACCACCATTTCAACCTGAAAAAAAACCAAATACTTAATCTAATAAATTATAAGTCAACTTGGCTTATAAAAATCACTAAATATAATAACCCAACTTGCCAATTATGTTTTCTTCTTGATACCAACTTGATCTTTATATTGATTGGGCTCGACCCTCTCAATTCTTAAGCAATGAATTCGTCGTGGACACGTGGCAACCTCGCCACCCAACAATTTACTCCCCCCCGAATGTATAATTTGTCTCCTATGATAATCTAGAAAAAAAATCAAGTCAAATTAATCAAGGTTTCACACGGTAAGTTAATTTTCCGATTCCATGGTTGGAAAATAAGTATCGTGTTGATCAAGAAGTTCAAATTTCATACTCTTGACTCTCCCAAATTTCCAAAGACTTCCATTTCCAACCATTTAACTGTAAATTTGTCGCTTTTGAAGAGAAAATGATCTCTTTCCAATTTATTTGGCCTCGTTTGGTACGCGAGAATGAGGTGAAATGGAATAGTCATTCTCATTCCTTTCTACCAAACACATCCTCTTTTTTGAAGTTGGATTGCTCATTCACATTTCTCATCAATTCTCACTTTATGTGGGAATGAGCATTCCCAATGAAATGATAGGGAATGAGCATTCCCACTTAAATAGGAATCAATAAAATATATAATTTTAAAATACGTTCATTCTCACTTCATTTTATAAATTATAACTAAACGTGAGAATGAGAATGCTTATTCCATTCTCACATTAATTCCATTCCATTCCTTCTTCCATTCCATTCTCATTTGAGTCCATTCCCGCGTACCAAACGAGACGTTATATTCCTTAATGCAAAGGATTCAAGGTCCTTCATGCATGTTCAATGGAAACATAAGACTGGAATCTATTATTTTTTATTTTTTACTTTTTATTTTAGAGGGAATCAGTGGCCAAATACCCGTTGTTCCATTAGTAAGAGTTCAACGAAACAATCCAAATATATAGAGACAAGGACAGATATGTAAGCTTGGGTCCAGACCTTCCCATCTCATTCTTGCTGTAGTCTGGAGTGTTTGCGCGTGTGTATATTAATATTATCATGATCATAATCGTTGTGAATACACAGAATTAATATTGCTTAATTTACCTTAAAAAAGGTGTGATCATAAAATAATAACCAGTTAAACATCTACGTATCATTAGATTATGCAACATAAAACATGAAGATGACAAACCGCACAAAGTCATAGATTAATTGTAAACACTTTGTCCTCCTGAATCATTTGGCTAATTCAAAGTCATAGCTCATGCTAAAGACCAAGACAAACACAGTCATGGTCTTCAAAGACACCCCCCCTACCTTCCTATTTCCTACATATATCTCAAACACATCCTCATCCCTCAACAAACTCTCTCAAGCGTATCTTCAACCTACAATCTACAAACTACCTTCAAAAAACAAAACACTTGCTACATCTCTTCCGACAATGTCAGTATCATCAATCTCAACAATCCACCGCATCCCTCTCCCTACCACCAATAACACACTACTCTCCGGTCACCGGACCACAAAGGCGACAACCACCGAACCTCCATCGCTCGCCGGAAAACGCCCAAGCTTGACCATCAACCGCCCCTCAACCCTAACAAACCTCCTACACCTCTCAACCGACAAACACAACAACAACATCCATATCAACACTCTCCCTACTCCAACCCCCACCACAAAAATAACCACCCCTACTCTCTCTCCTAGAGAAGACATCTCCTCCCTCTACCCTCAAATCCATGGCGACGCTGACTGGTCCTCCCTCCTCGATCCCCTCCACCCCTGGCTCCGCCGTGAGATCCTCAAGTACGGCGAATTCTCGCAAGCAACCTACGACTCCTTTGACTTCGACCCTTTTTCCGAGTACTGCGGAAGTTGCCTGTACAACAAGCACAACCTCTTCAAGAAACTCAACCTCGCCCACAATCGATACAACGTAACTAAACACGTATACGCAATGTCACACATAGAACTCCCTCGATGGCTAGAACGGTCAATTCACGCCGACACATGGAGCAAGGACTCGAATTGGATGGGATACGTCGCCGTGAGCAACGATGAGGAGTCAAGGCGTATAGGGTGTCGTGATATCGCCATCGCTTGGCGAGGGACGATAGCCCCTGCCGAGTGGTTCGAGGATCTGCAAGGGAGGCTCGAGGCAATCGGAGACGGTCACGGCGATGTTAGGGTTGAACATGGTTTTCTTAGTATCTACACTTCAAAAAGTGAGGCCTCGAGGTACAATAAGACCAGCGCATCGGAGCAAGTGATGGAAGAGGTTAAGAACTTGGTCAAATTTTACAGAGAGAAGGGTGAAAAGGTCTCTTTGACGGTCACAGGACATAGTCTGGGAGGAGCTCTGGCTCTTCTCAATGCGTATGAGGCTGCATCATCAATCCCTGAGCTTCCAGTGACTGTAATTTCTTTTGGAGCCCCGCGGGTAGGCAACGTGGCGTTCAGCGATAGGTTGAAGGATTTGAAAGTGAAGACATTGAGAGTTGTAGTGAAACAAGACATGGTGCCTAAACTGCCAGGAATTCTATTCAATGAAGGTTTGAAGAAACTCCATCTAGAATGGGTTTATACCCATGTTGGGTTGGAGTTGGGTCTAGATGTGAAATCTTCGCCTTATTTGAGGCGCGGATTACATTTGGCTGGGTTTCATAACTTGGAGACTTACTTGCATTTGGTTGATGGATTCCTGAGCAGAGATTCAGAGTTTCGGAAAACCGCGAAAAGGGATGTGGCACTGGTGAATAAAGCCTCAGGGATGCTGAAGGAAGAACTTGGGATTCCAGCGTGCTGGAATCAGAGTGCGAATAAGGGTTTGGTATGTAATGCTTATGGGAGATGGGTTCAGCCGCAGAGAGAGCCTGAGGATATACCTTCGCCTCTTCGACATGAGCCGAGAACTTTACAGAGTATATGAATTCTGTGTATATACAAAGTTAATACTAATACAAATTATCCTTTCTGTGTATATCCAAAATGAAAAAAAAAAGATAGAGAAGCTAAAGAAATGGATGCAGTGAACAACAGTACAGATCATAGCAATAGAGGTTATTTTCTCACATAAAAGAGGCCCAATTGCACATAGACCCCCTTGTAGTGTTGTTATTTTGCATTGTTGCCCCTGTAGTTTCGTTGTTTGCGGATAGATCCCCTGGATCAAATCTTGGACTCTTTTAACCTTAGGTGAAATTTTGGCAGATATTAGTGAGTCTACCTGAGGGTAAAAGAGTTAGATTCTAACACGGGGTGTATCTGCAAAAATGAAACTACAGGGCAAGTAAGTGCAAAACAACCATACTACATGGAGTCTATGTGCAGTTAACCCAATTAGAGAAGTAGAAGCTCAACAGGAAGGAAACTAAGAAATCATCATTAAAAGGGGGCAAATGCTACAAACAAGCAGAACTAGGATAGTCACATAAATGGTCTAACAGATAAATAATCGATACACTGATGTAAACTCATAAATATCAATCAACAAGTATGTGTAAGCAGTGGTCTTCATAAAAACTATTAATTACAAATGCAATTTTAGATTTGAGTATCTCATTTCATCAGAAGGATGTAGATCTTGAAACTTGAGATTGGGCATCCTCGAAATATTCAAAGTCCTCGAGCTTCTCAGGCTTCAAGCTATCAGGAATATATGCATTATAGACAGATTCTAGATTAGGAACCTCCTTTGTATCTTGGCATGCCACTTCCAAAGGAGTGCAGGCAAATGCACGATAAAAGCGTTGTTTGCACACATAAGCAAAAATGAAGGATATTGCGATGACGGGAAGTATCAAGGGAGCATAGATAAATTCTTTTAATGCGATGTAACCAAACATTGTGATTTGGTATAAGATCAGAGCTGCGATTATTCGGGTGTGCATGTGAGGCCACATTCTCCCATAGCTCTCATAAGAAGGGACATAAACTTTCAGCGCCTGCACATCGTCATCATCATCCTTATGATCTTATTCAATGAAATATACTAGGATTATCTTGCACACAATCATGTCCATTTTTTATCAGCATATTGTTATTCTTTCATCTGTCTTTTAGTTTTATCACACGCAAAAAAAAAACACACACACTTTATTATGCACTTCTGTTTATAGATTAGAGGTAGAATTTTCTTCTTCCTTCTCCGTAAGTGATTAGCTTCACAGGAAAGTTACAAATTGTGGTACGCTTGACAAATTTTGCAAATGTTAATGAAAAATACATCCCATTCCTCATATCAATTTATCAACTTCATGCTGATGGTAGTTTTATAAAATAAGACCTATAATATTTTGTTTTGTTAAGTTTTTTGCATCTAGTAGATAAAATTTCATAGGTCATATTTTCTCAAAAAAATTTCATAGGTCATATTCCATCAAGAGAGAATTATTTTGTATGCACATCTTATTTTGGACATACAACTTTTTAAAGAATCCAACCATTATACTTTGCAGTATTTTTCACAAGTAAAAAAGGAATGTCTGTGTACCTGATTTCGGGCAATGAGCCATCCAAGACCAAGGTAAATGGCTCCAAAGGGAATAATCAAGGGAGCTATAACTGAGTAGCAGAGGGCAATAGTAACTACAAGCATGTCATTAGGAACTCTAGTAGCAAAACTGAGGTCTCCAGGAGCCCAAGCCTCTTTAATTTCGTCTTCTGTTTTGCAAAGATACTTCTTTTTCATATGGAACATGATTAGAGGAACTAAGCGTGAGAGCTCAAGTCCATAGCCGATGAAGAATCTGTCACGCAATCAAAACAGGAACTTACGTTCATTAATAATCACAGTGTATCAACATTTTGAAATTAATGTAGTTTATATGCAGCTTTTTTAATATTACTCCTCCAATGTTTCATATTTTGAAACTAGTCCCTGAAATCTTTTGAGTGTTCTGAAATTAGTACCTCTATTATGTTTACCATTCAAATTGTTAACCATGGTTGGGTTAGTGGTTAACTAGTGATGTGCAATTAGCATCTAACCAAAATCAATCGAAATCAACACCAAAATCCACCATGATCATGCTCAAAATCAGTATACTTCAAGTCTAATATTGCGGAATATTTGCCCAATTTGCACTCCAGTGAAGTTTTTTAGGTTGTTGGGTTTGAATGCATAAAGGTACAGCTGATATTGCCTCAAAAAATATAAAAGATTCCCTCGATTTCAACCACCCCTTAACTAGAGGGACTAATTTCAAGCCACTTAAAACAAATAGAGGACTAAATAGAAAAAAAATAAAGATTTGGGACTACTTTGAAAATATAAAAGATTTGGAGCCTGATGCATGCAGAATTACGTAAGTTGGAAACTCAACTTACTTCAGTGCAACATAAGTGAGGAAGAATGTCGCATTTATTGGCAAGCCTTTCGCAAGCATGCTCACAATTCCACTCGGATGATTAATTATAGTCTTCAAAGAGCTAAATAATGTCCCAGTAATTGTAACTCCAAGAAACACATTAAACACAATGAAGTAAAAATACTTTCCAGAGGCCGCTCTTATTGCGTGACTCACCGATGGAATGCCTTCTGCCTTCGACAACACCATAAGAAAACTCGGAAGAAATGCCAAGAACAAAATAAGTGCGAGCTGAGGGAGATAAGCTTGCAATACTGTCTTAATAGCTGAGTTGTCCACTATCACCTTTAGGAAAGGTATTGATTTCCTCAAGTTGTCTAATGTGGTTACTGCAGATATTAAACCAATAGGAATCATGTAGAAAACAATAGTGAGAAAAACAGTACCATAAACAATATATTGTCTTATTTTCCTCTCATAGAATTTTCTTGATAAATTTGGCCATAGTACTTGGCGAGGCTCAGGAGCTTCTGTTATAGTCCAAGTATCAACTATTTGACTGTGCAGGGTTTGTGCAGCTAAAATCGCAGCTTGTCTACTGTTGAAGAACACAAATGCAGCGTTTTGCTGCTTTTGCCCAAGGGTCCTTTCCTGTTCAGCCTCTAATTTAGGAAGCAGTTCACTGATTTTCTCATTACAGTATTCGATAGTTTCGACTTTTTTCCCTATAAGACCGAGGAAACCAATTCGATTTGTGGGTCTTGTTCCTTCTGGTTTTCTCGCAGTTTTAGACTCTGAGAATAGAACTTCTGCACGAGCAAGTTTTTTCTTGTAGCCTTCCAACTCTTCCCATATTTTATCGGCCTAAATACAAGATATTTCACTTTATTGAGCATTATCAAAGATCATAAGGTTAACTGCGGATAAGACACCCTGTACTATTGCCAATTTGAACTTACTATCCCTGTATTCTATTGTAGAAAATAGAACCCCTGACAGAGTTCTATTGTTACAGATAGACCCCTTAAAAGGGTCAAAAAAAATTCACTTAGGGGTCTATCTGCAACAATAGAACTAAAAGGGTAGTAAGTTCAATTTGGCGGTTGTACACGGGCTCTGTCCATCTGCAGTTAAAAATAAATTTCAAGTCAATAATCTACCTCTTTGTTGTTTGTCACGACAATCGACTTGTAAAATGTGTCGGGATGGAGGGCCCTAAAATAATTATCCACCTGTTCTTTCCTAGTTTGATCCTTAGGAGGATTTGGGATGTCTCTAACCAATATAGCAAAATCCTCTGGTTTCGCCTCTGGAAGTGCTTTGGCTGTTGCTCTCAAGTCTGAGGCATGCTTGTATGCTCTCCATAAAACAGAGAATGTCACAAAGGAGACCCAGTAGGTTCCTAGTAAGAATGCCCACAGCCTTGGACTTCCCTCCTAAATGCACATGCATGTGAAAGATTACAGACTAAGAGCAATGAGGAAAAAAATATTTCAAGATAGGTCACCGGTTACAACATTATAGCCTTGATAGGTCACAAATTTCACTTCATTATTACTCTTCTCAATATTCAAACAGTAACGGCTCTACTCTCGCATACTAAGCCCGTCAACAAAAAATAAACACTTGAAATAATAGCAATATAGGTACTTTCAAGAGTTAATTGTGGATACACCCCTTGTAGTATCTATGTTTTGAACTTACTATCTCTCTACTTTTATTTTTGCAGGTAGACCACTGAGTGAAAATTTTTCGACTCTTTTATTCACAGAGGAAGAAATTTATTTCTTGACAAGTAGGCCCCCTAAGGGTTGTATCCGCAAAAATTCCACTCACGGCGTCTATCTGCAAAAATACAACTAGAGGATGACAGTAAGTTCAAAACAACGATACACAGGGGCTCTATCCGCAATTAACCCTATATTCAGTTAGTAATTAAACTACAGACGAATATATGAAAGGTAAAAATAGTATCATCCATCAAGCAAGTCCTTACTTGGATATTTCCCATTGCTAGCTTGTCGAGCCTGGTAAAGTTCCCATGGTTGTTGTTGTTGTCGTCGTCATTGCTACTACTGTTATTGTTCGCTTGTTGCAGACCATGATCAGTTCCGGCCAGTGGAAGAAGAATTGGAAGCAGAATTAGGCCAGAGAAGACCAGTATTGCAAGAACTGTATACAAAATTATCCACTATTATTATCACCATTCAGAAATTAGCCTATACATTATTATGGCAAAAGTCTATTTATAAAGTATGTCCTAGACCATTTGCAATCATATTGTTTTTGTACCCAAATGAATTATTTTCTCATGGTGAAGGCAAAACATGAAATATATATATATATATATATATATATATATATATATAGAGAGAGAGAGAGAGAGAGAGAGAGAGAGAAATAGAGAAACTTGGTACCAAGTTGCTCCATCGAACTTGGTAGTGATGTGGACTGATCTGATCCTTACATCTACATTGGAGTAGGTGAAAAGTGGTTGAAGCTCTATTTTCGAGTAGTGATGTAGGGGCCAAATCAATCCACATCACTACCAAGTTTCATGGAGTAACTTGGTACCAAGGTTCTCCATTTTTCTCATATATATATGAGAGAAATGGAGAAACTTGGTACCAAGTTACTCCATCGAATTTGGTAATGATGTGAACTGATCTGGTCCCTACATCTACATTGGAGTAGGTAAAAAGTAGTTGATGCTCTATTTTCGAGTAGTGATGTAAGAGCCAGTTCAATCCACATCACTACCAAGTTCCATGGAGCAACTTGGTACCAAGGTTCTTCATTTTTCTCATATATATATGAGAGAAATGGAGAAACTAGGTATCAAATTGCTCCATCGAACTTGATAGTGATGTGGACTAATCTGGTTCCTACATCTACATTAGAGTAGGTGAAAAGTTATTGAGGCTCTATTTTCAAGCAGTGAGATAATGAACTGAAACCTTATCGTGAGATGGACTAATCGAATTATCAAATACATGATCTATACCGAACATCTTATTCAAAACATTATCAAACGTACATGATCAAATTTTCACATAGTTTGGAGTCTTCTAGAATATGAATCAAACTGGTTTAATATGTTGATTTTTCAGACAGCTTAATAGCTGTCACTTATATACATAGCTAAAATAATAATAATAAATTTCAACATGATATAACTTTTTCTTTATATAGATCATGATGAGTGTAAATCACGATAAGCGATGCCGATTATTATTCTGGTTAGCCTGTTGGGACATCTCATGATAAGAATCTTATCTCACCATCTCATTTTATTATTTTTCTATGTATATATAAAGAAAAACACAAATATGCAAATCTCAAAATGACAATTCAAGTCACACGATGTATCATATTCTTCACTGGAAATGTATCACCATTAATTGCGGAAGACTACTAAAAATTAGGGGCACAAACATCAATAAAATCTTTGAGTATTCAGGGCCCGCTTGTTATGAAAGTACTTAATTTGAGAGAACGGTTCATGGATTTCATTCTAAAATCCTAAAAAAAAAACTAGAGGAAATAACAAAGGCAACTTATCAAAGCATAGTAATATGCGAACCCTAAATTACACTCAACCCACAAAACTCAAATAGACGCGATGCTAGGCGATGATAATTTTTTAGGCAACCTTCGATTCTTCCGCCCTCTGAAGTCTCCGCACTTGGTAAATTTTACAATAAAAACCCTGAGCTTATGGATGATTTGCATAAACCTTCGTGAACTTCGAAAATAAGAGAGGAAAAACCTGCATTTTGGGGAGCTTCTCACATAATTAAGCTTATTTCCTTTGTGGAAATTTACAAACGGTGAATTGCACTAAACCTCCAAGAACTTCCAGAATTTTGCGGCAAATCTCAGCAACTTTTAAACACCCAATAACAATTGTAATTGCAGAAAACTCTTAATTATAGGTTTCCGCATTTTGTAGACAACTCGTAAGGATGCATGCGATGAGGTTGAGAAACAAAAATGATGATTTAAAATCACCTGAACTCAGGAAAAGCAAGTAGACGGCAGCGTCGACGCCAGCGGCCTCGATGACGTCAGACTCACTGGCCCCCCAAGCCTCCTTGATCCACGCAAACGGGTTTCGGGTCCTCGCCCGACCTTCAACCGGGTCCAAACCCCTGAGGATCCGATTCGGGTAATAAATCACCTCATTTCCTTGGCTTTTCGAAAGCCATGAGAACAAAATCATCAACACGACGAAAATTACGAAAGAAGTCGCTAACGATGTAACAAAAGAGCTGATATCCATTTTCTCTTTCTTTTTTCTTTTCTTTTTTTTTTGGGATTAATTTGATGGTTTGAGATAAAAATGAAGAATAATTAGTAGCCGTTAAGAGAGAAATGAAGAAGTATAGAACAAGAAAAGGGGAAGCGTTACCTTTTTAACGGTGGGGGTTTAGAGCGAGTTTATTATGGTGGCGGTTAAGCGGGTGAGTGAGAACAAAGCAAAGCATTTGGGTGATAATTACTAGGGTGCCCTTGTTCATATCAACGAGCTGTTTTGTTCCTTGTTTTGTTTTGTTTAGTGTTGTCTTTTTAATAAAGTTTGGTTGGGGAAAAAAAAATCAGACAACATATCCGAACTTGTAAATAATAATAATAAATTTCCGCACAGAGTCATCATGGAAATCACAATATTGTATTTACATTGATGTAAAATCATTTTGTTTGTATGTGACTTTATATGATGATTCATTAAACTCTTGAGAATAGTACATGACAATTTAATTATAATCCATCGTCTTGTGCAAGAGAGAAGAAAGTTATAGTCATTTATCAACTAAATTTACATGATTTAAATAACATTTTTAATTTGGCCTACTATGTTAGCTAAGACGGCTGTTTTGTTCGTTGTTGTCAAATTCATGCATGTCAACTACTGTATTTTAGGAAACACCCCCATTTCAAGTCCATTATAGTAGGGACTGTATATAGGGGGTGAAATTGACAAATACTAATGGGTATCGGAGGCTAGTTTATTTTATTTTTATTTTTGGGTTTGTCGTCATAATCATACTAAATATAATGAGGAGAGCGCGAGTCGAGGCCAGATCGACGTAATGGAGGAGTCGATTATTTTTAAGAAAATCACAGAGAATTTAGGTTCACGTACATTAAACTTCATCCTAATTTCAAGAATGCCTACATAGAATAGAATTCGAACCTAGCTAGGAGGAGCAGACGCGCACCAAACATCAAGCGAGCTCTCCCCTAATCTCCCCCTAACCAAAACCACCTATAACGCGTGAACTAATTTCCCCAACCAAGAAGGAAAAAAAAAAAAGATAATAATAGAAATCTCATCACACCCAGAACGCCTCCTCCACAATAAAAAAAAAAAAAAAATCACCCCATTAATATAAATAAATACTTTCTAGCTCCTCTATAAATAATACTTCACACTTATGTAAAACCCCTCAAACAGCCTCAAGATGAAGCTAAACATGAGAACCGTTCTCCTAGCCCTGCTGCGTGCGCGGGAGCAGCCGAATCGCGTGCGCGGTGACTCGCTTCGCTGAGCTCTGTGCGTGGGTTCTTGAACAGGGATGCAGCGTGCCGACGCTCATGCTGCGACGGCGTGCGGGCTGGGACTTGGCGGCCCACTCGGAGGACGGCAGACGGCGTGCCGGTGCCATGAATGGCGCCGTCCTTCCTTTGAATTCGTCAAGGACATTGCGACGCGCTGCCGGAGATGTGCGGGACTCCCGTGCCGTTTCCTATTAGCCGCAACGTCGACTGCACCCAGTGAGCCCCCTTGCTAACTCACCCTACTGACTTAAAATACTCCTCTCATTTAACGTCGCTAAATTTGAAGTTGAAAGTAGTAGATCGATGGCAAATATTTAGTTATTTACTACGTACGCCTATGAATTTTAACAATGATAAATAAAAGGGGTGTAAAAATTTATGTGAGGCGATGTAGCTAGAGATAAATTAGCGAATATGCACATTTTTTATGTATTTGGAAGGTATATGGCAAATACCATTCCTTAGTTTGTGGCAGTTTTGCATGTAAAGCTATGTCAAACTTTTATGAGAGAGAAGTATCGCAAAATCTCAAATCAATAGGAAATTAAGTATCATATGATATAAAAAAACACAATATGATCATCTAGTAAGATTATTCGTGTTAGAATCGAGGTGAGAGCGAGAGTTATGATTTTATACAATAGTTTTTAGACATAGTGAATTCACAAGTAGGTTTTAGACAGTATTGCAGTATTTTTTTTCCGGTAATTTGAAGATTTGAGATACTTTTCTCTAATAAAAAGCTTATGGTAGTTCATAATAGTTTTATGAAAATGCACCCTTAACTTAAGCTTGGAAATGAATTTTTTTTTCCCTCTATCTTTTCTGTTTGATGTTATTGCAGGCTCTAGTTTGGGGTCAAGATGATGGAGGTGAAAATAGGGTTTTAAATTTGAAAGAAGGTTTTCTATTAATAAGAGTTGAGAGAGCTTTTATTGCGTAAGAATGCAAGTCCACGTGTGTGGGTGTTGGGCTGTGACTGTGAACCCAATGTTGTGGGCCTTGTATGAAATCAGTGAATAAATAAAGAAATTTATGGTTTCTGCCTGAGAAGTTCGATTCAGTTTTAATAAGTATCACCACCTTTTCATACTGAAATTTAGAAGCATAGGCCCATACAGTTGGACTGGGCCTAAATTGCATGGTGACTTACATATGCCGGTAGAATTTTTCAGTATTCATACTTCTTTTTTAATCCCGTGAAAGTCTTATATTAATACTAGAAAGTGAGCTTTGCTACAGGGACCCAAAAATGAGACCAATAAGGAGGACAAGTAAGGTGTCCCACTTTTATTGGATAATGAGTTGGCCATTAATGATGGCCAACTCATTATCCAATAGGAGGGTGACACCTCACTTGTCCCCCCTATTGGTCCCATATTTTGGGTCTTTGAGGAATTTTTTCTAGAAAGTATATGGTGACTTGTCCACGATATTAATTGCCCACAAAGACATTTTAATCATTGTATCCGTAGGAAATTTTCACTACAACACCTGAAATCATCTATAGCGGCCGAAAAACACTATGGTATTATTTAATAGCGTTTTAATCAGCGCTGTGTCAGAACCCGCTATAGTAAGTCTGTGGCTTTACATAGCGCTTCCCCAAACGCTATCAAAAAGGTTCCAACCATAGCGTTTTTATGTAGTTATAAAAGGGTATTCAATAGCGTTTCTGTATTGCTATGACGAATATCTTTTATAACAGTTGAAAAATGCTATTAGTTAGTTTTCATTCATAGCATTTCAACGATGTTATTGTCTTACATTTGATAGCGTTTGAGTTACTACAATGGCGTTTCAGCGAATGCTGTCTTTCTTCTTTTTATTGTCTTACATTTGATAGCGTTTGAGTTACTACAATGGCGTTTCAGCGAATGCTGTCTTTCTTCTTTTAATAGCATTTCAGCAATTGTTTTGGCGTTTCAGCGAATGCTGTCTTTCTTCTTTTAATAGCATTTCAGCAATTGTTTTCACTTCTTATAGCAGTTCAATTGTGCCTATAAACCTTTGAGGTTGAACTAGAAATAGCTTCCAATTATGACAACCATAAAAAAAAATATTTCATTTAAAGGTTCAAACTGATACATAACCAAGTTGTAGCATACAAAAAGTTCAACACAAATGTGCCAAAAAATAAATACTAATCTTTGGATAATCCAACATGGAGTACAAGAAATTAATCATAGTACACAGAACAACAAAAACTAATTTTGCTGCATTAGATATGACTTGGGAGACTCATCATCTTCAGCAATTGAGTACTAGTACTGCTGCAAAAATAGAAATTAACACCACCAATAATGAGATCCTAGAGCCATGAATATATGGACACAAAACAAAAAACAACAACACAAATAATTAGTCTAACAACCAAGGCATCAGGATGTGAAACCAAGCACCAAGGCAATATATGCCCATAACCAGGATCTGAAAACAAGCACCAGGCCCATAACCAGGATCTGAAAACATGCATAGCCAACACTGCAAACCCTCCAGTTTATAGAGAAGGAATAACATGCAATAGTGTTCTGAAATCAAGAGAACAGAGCTTTGGAAACTGCAGCTTCGAAAACTAAAACCAAGAGAACAGTATTTTCAGCCATTCTTCAAAACTAAAACCAATTGTAAAAACCACATTTGGGGCTCACAAACTCTAGCCAAAGTCAAAACTGAAACAAATACACAGTCATGTAGTATTTTCAGCCCATAAACATGTTAGAACAACTTGTCAAAGTACCAGTCATATAACCAAGCAGATAGAAAAGCAGGTTTTGTAAATCATGGCTGTGTTACACCTAATGAATGATATGTGTCCACATGTGCCACACTTCATTTGTTTAGATTGATAGCAGGTTTTGTAAACCATATAGCAAGATAGTAGGCTTTGTAAACAAGTCTCGAAGGCTAAAACCATGGCTGAAACACAGAGAACGTGGATAAGCAAAAAGGATGTGGTGTGTACTCTTGGTTGCTTCTTTGTAAACAAGTTCACGCTTGCTTTGTAAACAAGTTAATAGGTAATAGAAGCTTCAATAATATTATGTCCTACTACATAAATACAAGGTAACATGTAATAGAAGCTTCAACAATTTATAAATTACTTGTTGAATGAAAGAAATGCATGATTTTATATTCAAAGAATAAAAGCACAAGTACCCGAATGGCTCTAACACTGAAGTAGCCCAGGTCAGCAAACATAGCTTCAGCCCCTGTTCATGAGTTTTCTTAGTGTAGCAAATTAAGTTGCCTGGATTCCTCATGCAAATAAATTATCTGTAATATGTAACTGAATATGCAGAGTCTAGGATCCAATATTACTAAAACACTAGAAAAATTAATTTTAATTATGTGTGGCCCTTTACATTGAACCAATTATACTGAGGAGAATATATAAATCAAAGTGTATGTTAAAGTAATATGTAACTGATACATCATTGAAATTGCACTTAAAACTGCAGCATTCAAAATAAAACAATTCGGGAAGGGGGGGGGGGAGGAGTTGCAAGAGAAAAAGAAGGTATATGTAACTTTTTTATCAGGTGCACAAACCACTGCATTTTGAGTAATGTGTTCGGTCTTATTAAACCACCACAGACTTGTCTCATTAAGAACCTGAAAAGAAGTACAACATTTATAAATATCACCATACATCTTGCTCAATAACAACAAAAAGAAAAAAAATGGTATAATTGACCAAAATGATATCTGAGAGAGGACATGATGCATTAAGTTAAAATTAAATATTGTGGAAAGAGAAGAATACGGAGTATCGTGAATTATCAAAAAAATTACTAAACCTAGCAAAACCAGCACAACCTATTATCAGTTAATGAACTTCCCAAAAGTCTAAGAAACAAGCTATCAGCTTTCAAGGAAACTTATTATTCAAAGGAAAAGACCACAACTTTGATCAAGCACCCATATAGAAAGAACCAACTCCACCAAAAGCCATCATCTTTGGCAAGAAAACAGCAAAGGAATACCAAAAAAAACCAAAATTCAATCCATAATGAAGAAAAAAACCCACAAATACCTGCCCTTTGAAAGGAATCGAAGCAAGAACCCGATCAAAAGCGCTCTGCCTATCCGTTGTCACCAATACCAAGTGATCTCCTCCTTCATAAACATTCCTAACCTAAAAGTACAGTGAAATTTTCAAAAAAAAAACGATTAAAAAAAACTAGCTCATTCCCGCTAGAGAATTTACCTTCCCCTTAGCTTTCAACTTGAGCCCATCAACCGTGAGATCAAGGTGAGTCTCTGAAAGGCAATCGAATCTCGACTCCTTTGCAAGCTGAACAATCTCATCGCGGTGGCGACCGCTGAGATCGAGCGTTCACGATTGAATTCGCGCTGAAATCGGCGAGATTGAAGAGGGGCTGCGGTTTTTGGGCATAAGAAGATTCGAGGGATGAGAGAGTGGAGAGAGTAGCGAGGTTTTGCGAAGGGTTTTAGTGGGGTTTTGGTGGCTCGGACAGAGAGAGAGATTAAGGGCATGCTAGCTAGGGTGGTGAGGCTGATGAGGAACAAGGAGACCAATGAGCTCGTCGCCATGAAGTACATCGAGAGGGGCCGCAAGGTCTGGATCCCGTCGGGTCGATCTCAGAGAGAGAGATCTGAGAGGAGAGATAGAGGAGAGAGGGAGAGTGGGGCGTCGTGGGTTTGGTAGACGAGGAGGGAGCAGATTAAAGACAGGCGAAATTTTTGGGGTTAGGGTTTTTTTTCTCGGGGCGGGACCAATGAAATTGGTGGGGAGGGGGGAGGAGACGAATGAAATTTTAGGGCGGCTGTTTTAATTTTCAATCTGCCGCTTAAGTTTTCAACGCGTCAGAACAAAAAAAATTACGATCAAGTATTTATAGCGTTTAAAATTTTTCAAACGCTATCAAAAAATAAGGCACATACGATCTATAGCACTTACAACATTTCAAACGCTATCAAAAAATAAGGCACATACGATCTATAGCACTTACAACATAAACGCTATCATTCAACGCTATAAAAAAACAAAATAAGGCACATACGATCTATAGCACTTACAACATAAACGCTATCATTCAACGCTATAAAAAAACAGTTTTGTTGTAGTGTTTGAAGTACAGTAATTCAAAAGTTGACATCTTTTTGGTGTGCCTTTAATGTGATAGATCTAGATCCATTTATTATTTTCTCAGTCTACTGCACGTACTCTAAGGTCGTCTATTAAGATGTGAAATATACACTAACCTAGCACTAAATGACTTGCAAACAATCTTTTTTTTCCAACTCATTTAACAATCACAGAGCTTTTATTATGAGAATAGGCATCCATCTTAGAATTTAAGAGGACTCTTTTACTTAAGAGTTCCCATGGTCTCTTATTCAAGTTGGAAATAAGATTCCTTCTAAATAAGGGTGCTGGTTTTGTCTGTTAGAGTAAGTAAAGCTATATATAAGTTCAATTCTCATCACAATTTCATAATATTTATGTAGCTAGTCTAAGGAATAATGAGTGGTATAAGTACAACATATATTTTAAGTTTGAACATACACACATCTAAATCTTTTTTTTTTATATTGTGCAAAGTAGTCCAGATTTCGGCAAATAAAAATAACACTAAACCTATGTTAATGTACTATTAAATTATAATTAAACTAGCTGTGTAGATATATTAGACTTAGTTAGTCCACAATGACGGAACTTTAACCAAGGTCAGACTAATCCACGAAACGATGGATGTTTCAAAAATTGTCAACATATATAAGTGGCTAAGATTTTGTTAGATCGCATGTAATTAAATATTGAGTAGTGTAGGCATCGAAAATTGCCTATAGGTCTCCACGAACAGCTCAGTGTTAAGAAATGACGATGAACGTCACCATCTGGTTCACAGAAGCTTGATTGATGTCGGTGAACGCTTGAAGTAAACCGACGAACTACGTGAAACAACGAAACTTCGGAATGATGAAGATACGAACTGATCGGGAACCTCGTATCGTTCACAAACGGCGAAATACCCTTCGTGTCTCATTTGTTCAACTGATGATATAATCATTGGAGCTTATAGAAC